AGTAGTAGTAGTAGTAGTAGTAGTAGTAGTAGTAGTAGTAGTAGTAGTAGTAGTAGTAGTAGTAGTAGAAGATGATTTATACGAAAGTTACAATGATTGTTATGACTGTGGAATTCACCTCAAAGCCAACTTCATAATTTCCTGCTACCAATAATAAAACATGGCCGACGCGCGGACTTTTGAGGCGTGAGACCGGATCATCCTCACGGGCGAGCCTTCAATACATTCGGTAAGGGCAGTTTCTCTGGGAGTAAGCGGCCGGAGCATGAAGCTGCTCACCTAATGCCAAGGTTAAGGATACATTGAGCTATACACGTATTTCTCCTCCATCACTACACGCAGTGAGTTCAGTTAAGCACAGGGATAATTTTACATCTGAAATTCACATTTTTGGAATTAATTTCAAGACCATTCTTCAACTAAACATGTTCTATAGGTCTGCTGTTACTTTGAAGGATGGTCGATGAATAATTAATGAGAAAGGGTTTAGAGGGAAGTATTCGTGATACATTTGAAGGTACTATTACACACATAAGTCCGCGAAAACCCTCATGACAGACAGCATTCGGACAGAAATCAAACCAGAGGTCTCTTAGTACTAAGCAGGAGATTTAACCAGCGGACGCCAAGACTGTGTAACAGTCCTAGCATGCTAATGGTTCAACTTACTTACGTACTTACTTATAGAGCTGAGCCCTTCTTGAGGAGCCGCCAATTCTGCAGCTACTCAAGAATTTCCCAGCATTTTATGGAAACCGAAGGTTCATTGCCGTGTTCACAAGAGCCCTACACTAGTCCTTACCCTGAGGCACATTAATCCAATCCATACCATCCCATCCTATTTCTCTAAGATTCATTTTAATATTGTCCACCCACCTAGGCCTTGGTCTTTCCAGTGATCTCTTTCCTTCTGGCTTTCCCACCAATATCCTATATGCATTACTTCTCTCCCCCATTCGTGCTACATGCCCTTCCCACCTCATTCTCCTTCACTTGATCATACTAATTATACTTGGATCAACTAACCATATGAATTACCCAGAGTTGTGTGACATACGTACAATATTTGTTTAAGATTCCGTTTTGCAGGTCTGATGATGGAAAGCGAGAAAAAGATTTTCGAGATGATGGACGAGAAGACAGAGATGTCTAAGTACTGGATGCCTCTCATCTGGGCCACGAATATCATCAACCGTGCTCGGAAGGAGTCTCTGATCCCCAACGATCACGTGGTGCAGACAATACTGGTGGAGCTGTCGGATATACGGCGTAGACTCGGCTCCCTTATCGGGTATGACACCGTCTGCGTGCCTCTGGTGTACACCCAGGTCAGTGCTAGTCTTCAGCTCTGCAGGAGCGACTCCTGCCTCGACAGTACTAAGACCTTTACTTACTTACTCATGGAGCTGAGCCCTTCTTGAGGAACCGCCAATTCTGCAGTTACTCAAGAACTTCCTTGCATTTTATGGAACCCGAAGGTTCATTGCCGTGTTCACAAGAGCCCTCCACTGGTCCCTATCCTCAGCCAGATCTAGCCTAGGTCCTTTATCCAGAGGGTCCGTCCAAGTCTGAGGCTTTGTGTTCACTTTCGTTAACATGCTTATTTCTTTACGGTGAAGAGTTGTTAGTCCCAGGTACAACCCCCAAGCTGGAGGACCACCCCTTGTCGGCTGTCCAAGACTGCTTATTCAGTATATTCGCAGCTTCCCTCCACATCTGGAGGGCGTCTCCTCCATCCGCAATCTGAGGACGCGCCATGCCGAGGTGACAAGGGACCCACCTAACATGGATACTGAGACATTGCAAAGTTTATTTCACTTTTTAGTACATGATATATAGGGCCGTAGCCCAAGCTGTTAGTCACCGGCCTCCCACCACTACTGCCCTCGTTCGATCCCATGTCAGGTGATGTGTCACTTGGGCTGGTTTTCTCCGAGTACTTCGGTTTCCCCTCCCAGTCCTCATACTGTCACCTAATTGACATTTATTAATAATCCTACCACCGACGATGTAGACAGGCTAAGTGTTGGTAGGCCTGGGTTCGATTCCAGACAGGGGGAAGAGATTTTTATCTTCTCCGTAATGTCTACACAGGCCCTGTGGCTCACCCAGCCTCCTATCCAGTGGTACCGGAAAGTCTTTCCCCGGGGGTAAAGCGGCAGGAGCGTAAAGCTGATCTGTCACCTCCAGCTATTGTCGAGTTGAAGAATAGTGGAGCTGTTCCTCCATTCCCACATAGGTCATTATGGCGCTGTGCTTAATGAAATATGCAGTGGGACAAATTTACATTTATATCAGTATTGAACGAGACGTTAAATAACAAATACATAATATAGGACAATATTTGTAATCATGTTAATATATGAATGAATGCAAATCGAGACGTTGACAAAAATATATTCGTTTTAATATTATAGTACGCAATAAATAATAATATTGTTAAATGACAGAATCAATGAGGGTGAAATTGGCAGGGCATGTAGCACAAATGGGAGAGAAGATATGAGAAGTTCAGATACTGTTGTCGATTCTCTGATTATGAACTCTCTTGCTATTATTTCGACTTCTTATATTTTCCTTGTTTTTAGATCCGTCTGTTTCAAACAGAATTCACAGTGTCTGGTCTGCTCTATTGGCATAAGGATGGTACATAGTGGATTTAAGCACTATGCCACAAATCGGAAGGTTGCGGTTTCGAGTCCCAATGAGGTGGATTTTTTCTCCAATTTACCTAAATCCTTCCAGCCGCACTATGGCCCTGAGGTCGACTCAGCTTCTAACAGAAATTAGTACCAGAAATCTTCCTGGGGGAGTAAAGGGCGGGCGGCGCTTAAGGCTGACAGCCTCACGGCCATCTGTGAGCCGATTGTCTAGAAAATGTCGGAGCCTCGACGTCTCACAAGCCTATGGGCCTCAGCGGCCTGTTACAGGGATAGCTTTACCTTTACCTTTTTTACCATAGTGACAGTACGGTACTCTCCCTCCCACAGTGCAGCTTCAACCACTGTCCCGCTTCTCTTTGCAGTACTTCTCTCGTACAAATCAAAGGCCAGACCTCAAAACACGGCCTGTATATGTCTTTGTTAGTGCTGCGTGTTGTCTACCATCATTTGGCCTCTGGAAGCATGAGCACATCCGATTTAACAGTACTGTGATTTCCTTAACGGTTCGTTATTCTTGGAATTCTGAAGAGCAGCGAGTTCATATGATCTTCAATGCCTTGTAGATTATGCTCTAACGGATTTGGTACAGACATTGATTGAAATGGACAAGGGAAGGAGTGGTCTGGGAACATGACTATTGCTTCTTGCCACAAGTTGCGTTGAGAGAGACACATGGAAACAAGTCAGCAGGAGACACTTCCTGTCCACACAGTAGCTCTTAGTGACAGGTTACTTTAAAATATTACAAGCGGCTAGGATGGTTGCTTTTTACAAGCTGTATTGAAGTTGTAGAGAATTGTCAGGAAACCCAGTAGAGGATGTACTACAGTTATTAACCCTTTAAAGCCCAACGGTTACTATACGTACCACCTGCTTTAACACACTAAAATTCTGCGTTCTGCCCACAGTGTGTTCAGTATTGTTCTTAAAATAAACAGCGAATATTTCCCTAAATCGATTGGTTTTGTGTTTTCTGTGAGGTACGGACTGAATTCTTATATATTAGAAGAAATTCAGTCTTGAATTCCCACCGTATCCCTACGAGTCCCTGGTGGTATAACTGGGCCACCCTGTTCCTGGAGCATATAAATACGGTTGGGGGAGTCTCGAATCTGAAACACTAAAACGTGGTCATGAGTCCCGTGGGATTCGAACCTGTGAATTACTGCGCTGACGAGGACCAGCAGCAATTGTAAACGACAGATCCATCCTTTCGTCAGAGAGGATCTTACATGAGGACAATGACCACAAGTGTTCAGTTGGAAAAAAAAAATACTGGACGTGAGTCTCAAGGGGCTTGTCGCCAAGATGAGCTGATTGACGGTAAAACGCCAGTCGTAAAGTAACTCTGTGACTCTGACTCTGACCCAGTCTTTACAGAACTAGGCACACGAACGTGGACTTCATTGATTTACGGCAGAATCCTAGCTACACATCCTAATGAGAATACTCTCTGCTGGGTTGTGAGTCCAGTACATCACCCACATTTTGTAGGCGTCTTCAATATTCCGTCCTGAAGATGATGTGATTTTCTCTGAAACGCTGGTACCAGACGTCACGTCACATCCCAGGAGACAATATTTATTATCATCAGTGTCTTGAGGATCTCATATCTCAAATTAATTTCTGTTACACTCATGGCCAGATGGTCGAATTCAATGATTCGTAACCGGTGGGAGGGACTGCGAAGGATGTGGTAGTGGGGGGGGGGTCTTATAGGTGTTGTAAAACATGTGAGAGTTCAAGGACATTCGATGAAAAGAAAACGAAAAATAACATCTTCTGGTAGTCGTGGACAGCAGCAAAAATTGTTCTCTAGAAAAGAGAAGTTGAGTAAGTCTGGTTTCAGATGTTTGAACTCTGCCATTTTTTGAAGATGTATTAGATAAATCTGTACTGCAGTTTCCCTGCACTCTTATGTTAAGACACTTTACTGGTAGGCGCCTATAACATGTTAAAGGTAGAAGGGTAAATTTTTCCGTGTGCTTAATTTGTTAAACACCACTCCATGAAGACACATGGGGAGTGGAGGTATAGCTCCACCATTTTTGACCTCGGCAATACGTCGAGATGACGTCACTGTAACCCCAAGGAAAGAACATTCGGTACGCAATGAATATTGCATTAATTATATTTTATTTTGCCACACTGTAAGTGTCGAAACTGCGGTCACAGTGGCCGCGCGGTCTAGTTAGTTAGTTAGTTAGTTAGTTAGTTAGTTAGCTAGTTATTGGAGAGGGTGGGTTTCCCCATGCACTTAGACCAGTATTGGTCCATTGTGCTTCCCTCTATGATATTCTACCAGTCTCTATACCCTACCGATATTGGTGCGTACCATCAGTCCCGACCGAGCCAGTGAGTTCGGCCTCTACTGGCTTGGCGGTATCTATAATGCTTCCCACATCTATCAGAGGCGTTAGAGACTACTGTTGGGCGGGAAATGTCCTTGAATTTGGCTCACTGACCTCCTATGGAGATACAAGTATGAGGTTCTTTTACGTGCCGTAAAGCTACGACACGGGACCCACGGCTTAAAGTCCCTCCCGGAGGAGGGAGGGAGGAGGAATTTTTCCACCCTTAAAAATTCCACGACCTCCGCGAGTTTGAACCCGCGTACCACGAGTCATGAGGTTGGAACGTTACCTTTAGACTACGGAGACCGCTGCCCCGCGGTCTAAGGCACGAACTGTCTCGCTCGATCGAAAACTGGGATCGTGGGTTCGATTCCCACTAAAGACATGGATGTTTGTGTGTGTTTATTCTGTTTGTGTTGTTCTATGTATAGGTAGCGGCCTTGCGACGTGCTGATCCCCCGTCAAAAGCGTCCTTCCGACAATGTATAGGATACTACATTGTGTCTGTTAGAAGGATGATTGATGATAGATGATTGGGAAAGATTTAGATGGATGTTGTCGTGATCTAATTAAGGCACTATACTAGCATTTACCCGGAGTGACCGAGGAAAACCACTAACATTCCTGTGATGAAAGCCGATTTTCCCGCTGTCATGACCGGGGTTTTTGTGATTTTCCTCACTCCCTCCAGGCAAATTAAAGATGTTAATTTTTTTTTAATTCGCTTAGGGGGTGGAGTCCAAGTTGGTCCACTCGGCACGGCGGCCACTGATTGGCCTCTTTTAGCCTGCCCCGGGTGATTATGATGATGGAGAATTTGGTAGAATGAAGATTGGCAGGGGAAACCGAAGTACTCGGAGAAAACCCGCCCCAGCGCCAATTTGTCCATCACAAATCCCACTAGATCAGACCCGGGATCAATCTCGGGCCGCCGCGGTGGGAAGCCAGCGACTAACCGCTTGAGCTATGGCGCGGCCATGAAAGATGTTACTGCGTAGACAACTTAACAATAGGTAAATGATATTGCATTGTACTGTGCGAATTTTTCAGCACGACATGTAAGCAGCGCTGTAACAGAGTCTTCACGCATCTGCTAAGTGTCTGTATGGTTTTGATGAGGCACAATACATCGCAGTACCAATTGTTTTGAACATAACAGCCTACCATATGAAGGGCTGCAATTAGCATTGAGTTTACATGTGGCCTTGTATACGGCTTCAGCATTATTGAACCTTATTAGAATTTATTTCCTATTGTTACAGTTCTATATCCTGCCTACGTTACTCCATTCATCGACGTATATGGTGATGT